ACTTTTAGAACCGTATTCCTTTAATTAACTTTAAGTCCGTTTCGAATTAATCCTTCATATAAGCTTATTTATGCAATTAACAAGAGATTAGCGAAATTAAAAATGATTTCGGTTTAAAAAGTTACAATAAAATCAATAACAATACAATTAATTTCAATGAAAGAATTGTTTAAAAACATATCATTAGAATAATTTCGAGTCAAATTTTAAATTTAAGTTATTTTTGGCTAGTTAATCCCAAATAAGAATCGAATTAATCTGTAAGATGTTTAGTTTCACAACATGTAACTTAAGTGAACCTGCGGAGCCATTTCCTGGAGCATCTTCTATCGATCGATGAAAGTCTCCACAATTAACACTTTTATCTTTTCAGATTTTCAATTATTCTCTCCACGAATATCGAATTTAAAAATTTTATTTTATTTATCTTCTCGTAAAATTCATCATTATTAATAATATTTGATCTATCCTTCGCCAAATGCTCCATTATCTTAAGGATTCTTTCTAACTTTTCGAAGAAATGCTTAGGTTAATGAGCATTTGGCTCATAGAGAACATTATGAATAATCATCATAGAAAATGCTATGATGATAGTATTATCTATGTTTTTTCTTTTCTTTCTTTACCTTGTTAAACTAGAACGTGAAATTTGTGATGTGTAGCAGTTTTCAGATATATCAGATTATAATTTGTTCAACAGTTATGAAACACGTGGTTAATAAAATAAGCACTATCGATTTTTAGAGTGTAGATATTAAATTTTAATTCTTAATAAATAAAATTCATATTCCGAGCTTTATGAGGTAGGGCACGAATCTTATTAACAGAATCAATGATTTCTGATTTTACGATTAGATTTGTTTGATTCACGCAAAAAGTAAATAAATTATTACAAAACAGTAAAAATTATTTACAACTACATTATATACAATTAAAATCGATTACTACTATCAGCAGATGAATTAAAATTAAAGGCAAGATGATGATGATGATAGAATTTATGTTTTGTCGTTACTAAGAACGTCTCGTGTTAAATTGATGAAAATAATTTTAGTTAAAATACAAAATTATCAATTTGTTTACATGTAAATAAAATTTTCATGTAATTTATTTATTTTTATTTATTAATTTATTATTA